CTGTGAAGATAAATGTGTCACAGATAAATGACAAAAAATAAAAAAGTATTTCAGTATCACTTTGAGTCTTATTCCATGACCATTTCCCCCCCCTGTAATAATTACCTATGCACAAACTCTAGATGGCAATATTGCACTTACTGTACTTCCACAAAATTGTCCCAGTCGATCCCACATATCCTCTTTATCAACATTTTATGTGCCGTGGATCTATAGCCTCTTATTATAAGTGTAATGAAGCAGAAGTTATTGAAGCCTTTTATTGATTGCTCAGATCACAAGTTTACTGCCATACTGAATTGGCACCTTACTCGCTGAAGCAAACTGCTGACACCTTTTTTAAAAAGTGACAACTACATCTATTTCATGACCAGAAATCCATTTTCATCTCTATCAAGACAAGAATGCAATTTTCACTTCATTTAACTGATGTTAGGCCGGCTCAAAGCATGGCACATAGAAAAAGACACAAGTTCTTAAAGTACTTCAAGTAACTAGAATGCAGTTTGGTTTCAGGGGAAAATCAACAGTCACTAGAATCTTCGAACAATCTAATATGCTAATATCAGGACCTTAAAGTAGTTTTACACTTTCAAAATGACACCACTCTGTTCTCATAGGCACAATGGAGACTTATGCTTGGGGATTAGAAACTGCCATCATCGATTTCAAAGGACATTAAGAAGGTTGTTCATAAGCCAAATATTTTGAGTTTCATCCCGGAAAGGCTAACTGGAGGCAACACTGTACTTGATTTGCTGTGGTCAGTACATACAGTGTAAAAGGTGAAACAAAAATGCTTAGCCTCTTAGTAAAATGAAGATTAACAAATGATTTTAATTGACCTTAAACAAAGGAGCTAAAAAAGCCAGGTTTCAAGCACTTCTCTTATGAAAATAAAGTATTAAATTTTCTTCTCTTTTTGCAATGAACAATTTTCTATCAGTGCTAAATTCAACTCAAGTATATTTTAAGCTGGATCATTTTTGATGAAAATGATATTGCTATATCTAATATCTAATTATAAAACATTGAAAGTGTGGGTAAAAATCATTCACTTTTAGCTTATAAATTTTTTAAATCTAAAAGATTATGAAAATAATAATTTGGATATTAATAAAATATATTTCAACTTTGAACTGCAAAATCTCCACATACTAAAATTATCTAGTTATTTTCTTATTTAATAATATGCTCATAAAGCAAAACAACAATACAGCTGTAATTTAAACAGTGAAATTAAAGTTTTTAAATAGAAACTCAATGTCTGGATTTCTCAACCCAGTGCCTCAAATATTAATCTTTTTAAAAATGAACATAAACACACTGACAAAGGTTACTTTGCTTAAATTAGTTTTTCCTTAAAAAAACTACATACAAAAATATTTATATCACCCAGACCAAAATTATAGTTCTCAACAAACTTGACTAAGTAATGAATTCATATAAATAAGCCAAGCACTCACTTTCAAAATAAAACTAAAGAAATAAAATGCTTTCCTGCATTTTCAGACATAAAAAGAAACTGCTTATGTGTTTCAATTATTCAGGTGAAGTTTAGGAAATGCCTCCAGATTGTAAGAAATTCGTGAGAGTTTTTTTTTTTTTTTATTCATTTTGCTTTCCATATGCTAAAATTTAACTAGAGGTTGATCACTCTTTTCCAAGATGCTAAAGATGTAGGAGTGGGATTTCAGTTACAGGGTAAAGGCATCTTATGTCCTACAGAGTGGCTGCAAGCCCAGAGTTCAGGCGTCCATCAGCAGGGTGGAGCAGCCATTTCCTTGGTTTCTGTCTGACACTCAGGAGTGATTGTACAAGCTCTTAACAACTGAAACGGGTCATTAACAATTTTAAATGATTAAAACCGAGAGTTTATGAACCCTTTCAAAAATGATATTTTTAATAAAAGACAAAGTGCTATGTTAATTATGTAAAACTCTCTAGAAATTTTGTTAGTTGTGGGAGCTCAAAGTAAAGAAGTGTCTGAATCAGGGAGACAAGTGGCTTCCAGAGATGAAGTTTCCCCCAAATCATGTTTGTACTGCACACTGCGGATCAGCTATTCCAAGCCCTAATTACTGTAGCTGCCTGGCACACTTCCATGGACGTTTTTTCATTTTTACAGTATTTCTGAACAGATTGACATATTTTGTTTACTGACAGCAACTAAAGCTCTGTGTAGGATCATAAATAAAGAAGATCGCGTTTAAAAATCACTAATATCATTTTAAAAGGTACTGCAGCCTTGTGTTTTGGCCTCTGTTTGGCTGTGTTAGCCATGAATGACAGCTTCCCTGCTTGAAGCACACAGAAAGCACAGCCTTGCTCATTCACTGACAAGACTGTGGCCTTTTCACACGTTCCTTCCACAGCAGTGTTTGTCCCCAAACACTGGAACTCGACACAATGGCATTCCTACTCCAACACCCCCACCAACAGCACCAGTACATAACAAGAATGCTAATGAGCTGGAGCTGGCCCTGATGAAAGTGTTAACTACATTTCATCAGAAAGCGGTTATGCTGTTCCAAAGATTACCAATTAAGCAGATTCTGCTTAGCTCTCAGCGAGTTCTAAGATGTTTCTACTCTTAAGGAAATACACGTGATAAATGTAAGACCAAGTGACTTTAAGCTGTCCTAAATATAACATCTCATTTTAAAACTCACAAAACTCTATATATTTAAGACCACCATAAGCAATGTGCTTACTTCAGCTGCAAGCTACAATAGCCAAGCTAAAGTTTAAAATGAAAAAAAATGAGTAGGTTCATAAATACAAAACCAGTAGCCCTGACTTTTCTTTTAAAGTTAGAGTATAACAATTAGTTAAGAGAAGTTCCTTGTGTCAAAATTTTAAACCCATTATATTTAACCGAACAACATAGTTTTCACATGGGATGTCACAAGCAGAGTAAATGGAAATGATATAAAGAGGTAATACAGTTCTACAATTTTATAAACTCAAGATTTGTTCGCAAAATAGGAACCATTGTTCATCCGCATGTCACCTGTCTAATGATTCCTTAACATGGTTAGACAGAACACTACATAAAAACGGCTTTCTGGAAGGTCAAATGAAGTAACGCAGTTCGAATAAAGCTCATTAATGCTGAGGGGGACATTTGATAGGAACTCCTACTCATAAAATAAAGATATTGTCAGGCTTAACACTTGGCCCGTGGTGACATTGTAACAGTACCACTATAGTGAATTTTTAAAGCATTCAAGGCATGGAAACGAAACACAGAATATATATAATTAAACACAACTATAGAAATTTTTACAAATTCATGACATTCTTCCTTGCCCTAATCTGTATACTTTACTATAAAACTTACGTATAGTGTGACGCTTAGCATGTTTGTTCATGTTTACACTTCAAACTTAATAAAATACATTGGTCATCATTTTGAGTAATGCATTCTTTAAAACAAAGCAGCAATTCTAAAGGCATTTTTTCCCACAATGTTCTGAATTCTTAAATTTAATGTTTAATAACAGTTTAATGTTTCAGTGTTTAGAGTGGCCGTGTTTAGAGAGGCTGCTACTGTCCAGATGTCCCCAGTCTCTCCAACCCTCACTTCCAAAAGAAAGTGCTTATCTCTAGATTTTATTTAAACAGTGCTTTTCTTGCATTAGAAAAAGGCCATATGCTTTTGAAGCTTTAAATAACTTTAAATCCTCCAGTAAGTGGAACCAAATTATACAACAGCAAATAAACAATTCAGCAAATCTTAATCCATCTTACGATGCCATTATATGCTGAACATTAATATTTAAATGTAAAATAAGTTAAACACAATAACATAGTAATTGTACTAATTTTTGTATTTGATAGCCCAATAAAATTGGATTTTTAGTCAAATTGTCTATAGTAGTTATCAATCTTCTATGGTTCACTGAAATTAACTAAAAAGAAAACCAAATACTTTCCCTATAGAACTTTCTCTGAGACACTGCCGCTTAAGTTCTGAAGGCTGTGATGAACTTTCTTCCACCCATCATGAATTGCTCTTTTCCAAGCAGACAGCAGGAGGCGCTGTGTGAACACCAAGAATTCCATTGCAAGCCCACCCCTCCCCTTCCTCTCTGTATGCAAAGAATGGTGAGATGCTTTCAAAATATTCATTTTCAGCAGCCTGTGGCCTGAGATAATGAGCCAAGTTCTAAAATGGAAGTTCCGAATTCACAATGTAAACCTTACTTAACACTGGGGAAAGGTTGGCTTCACTTACGTCTAAAAGGGAAGTTTTTTTTTTTAATATTATGACTTCTTTTTTTATCATCAAAATTGCAACATTCTCTTTACAATATAAATCCTTCTTTAATTAAATCAAGTGTCCCAAAAGTAATTACAAAAATATCTGTCTTTATCCACACACATGTATGTACATAAACACACAACTATAGAATGAATACAGACACTAAAAGGCAAAATCTAATTTAATTTAGTCCAAATTCATTAATTCAACTATTCTTTGGATCCTAAAATATACAAGTTAAATAAGTATGGGTGAAGTAAGTAATTCATGAGGTGAAGTTAATTCACAGTTCATTTCTCTAGAATCTGATTTGGTTTTAGACCCATTTCTACAATAGTGAGCTGAGTTTACACCAGGAGAGAAAATATTAGGGGTCTCAGCCATCAGAGGAGTGGAAGTCCAATCATTTTCTTCTCTAGTGTAACTGACTCTAGAATTTCCACATAAAGATCTACTTTTACTTTACAGAGTAAGCAGTGAGAAAAGATGAAAAGTATGACATTCTATATCAAAAGACAAACAAAATTAGACCCATTATCACAGGCTTCGAGATTCCAGAAGCATTTTGGCTCCCTTACAGGCACTGAGCTCACAAAATACATGTCACAATTCTTTTAAGACACAGTGCTAAACATTGCACTTATAGGACCAAATACATCTGTATATATATACATATATATATATATATATATGTATATATATTATATAATCATATTTTTGAGGGATGACTCACCTGCTTGTAATAATTTTTTGCAGACTTTAGTCGTGGATATAAGGCCCCAAGAACTCCTTGGATGTACATCTTAGCACCCGAGGGACTGAAACCTTCTCCCTTAGAGACCCAAAGTGGTCCCCGCAAAGGTGTGATGGAATCTTGCAGGCATTTTTCAAGCACAGGAACTATTGGAGAGAAGAAAGGGGAAAATTCCTTTGACCCAACTGAGATACACTGCCTGGAATGCAGCCTCAAAACCAGAGCTAACTCTTAACGTCTATTATTTATGTCTGACCTGGGTTAAGTCTGAGAGAGGCAATTCCTGCATTACCAGTGGCCACCATGAAGGATGTATTTATATTGTGACACCCCCCATGCAAGTCTCATAAGCTTTGTGGGCACACCTGAATAGTTCTGAAGTGTGCCTAACTAGCTGCACAAAGTGTCATGGTGTGCACTGATTGCCTTATCTTCTCATTTATCACAGATGAGTTGGAACCAGCCTTGCCGAAAGCTACTTGCATTGTCCTGATAAAACTGTAAGATCCATGTTGCTTCTGTATATAACTTCCTGTAGAGGAATCTGTGTGTCTAAAATATCACATCTGGAAATTATTCATAAGAAATAATCCTCACCTTTTAAGCCTTCCTATTCCAGGCCTATCATTGACATTCATTAAAGCAAACCACAAAACAGGTTGAAGACTGTTTAAATATAAGAGGGGAGAATGTTAAGCGAGGATTTTCTCATACCTTTGTGTTTCTAAGTACTCAGAATGTATAAGCTTGTGGTAGATTTCAGAATGCTATGCCAGCAGGAGTTTTGCAAACATATAAAGATATTTACTTGTGGGCCTGTAGCGTAACATCCATGAGGACGTGACAGATATGTTTATACACTTTTTCACATGATTAGCTCATAAAGTCTTTGTGGTATAAAATACCCAAAAGTCATGGAAACTGGCTAATATTTTTCTAAATTTAATTTTTCTCTGAAAAGCTAGAAACAACAAAATTTTTGCCCCCCAAAAAATAGATACAATCACTTTTATTAAACATGGTCTTTACTTAAATGTACATATATACTTTATATATGTATATTTTCTGCCATAGATATATCCCAAATATAAACATGTGAAAGAGATATAGATCTTGACAATTTTATTCTTACATATATTTCTGCTAGAAAAAAATAAGTATATCACAAGCAAAGAAAGTAGATCTGTGCCCTGGATTATATGTTGCATGTTTTATCCAGAGAGGCCCAGCATTGCAATGCGGAAACTGAATTACAATTAAGCTCAGCTGAGCTACTGAGAGGCTGAGATATGCAAATGGCCTTTACTACTGGTGTTCTGCTAAATCTTACTTTTAGTTAAGAATTCGTGCATTTTAGGACACTGTGTTCTCCAACTCACTATCTTAAAATTCTAGTGTTATTGCTTGGGAGAATATTGGAGACAGAGCTTTTAAGACTTTTTTACTGCTGTCAGGAAAATTAAAAAAAAAAAAAAGTGTAATGTGGTGACCACAGTTGTATGCATGAATTTGGTCATCCAGTTTTCGAAACTAACTCCTGAAATTCTATGAAGCCCATTCTTCAACACTCACAGCAACTACTTTTCTCTATAGGTTTTAAGCAAATAGGTGCCTTACACTTTATATGTCGTGTGTGTGTGTGTGTGTGTGTGTGTGTGTGTGTGTGTGTGTGTGTGTGTGTGTGTGTCATTGTTTGTACTATAAAAGAAATAGAACGTAAGAGAGAAATATGACTTACGTCTTCAATCTTTCAAAAATAAAATGGGTAAGACAAGTCGATTTGATAACAGTTTTGCACAACTAAGCACAGTTTGGAACCATCAGCATTTTCAGTTTGCTGACACAATGTCCATAGATCGCCATGTATCTGGTTGATTTCTACAGTTTTAACTGTATCCTCACTCAATCCCATACACTTCTAAACCCTGAAAAGCATTACTTATAGTAGTTAGCGTAGGCGCTAATTTTTTTTAAGTTAAATAAATTAGGAAGCAAGGTGATAAATTTCAAAGATTTAATCTCAACTTTAAATCTGAGAAAATTCTGCAAGATTCATCAGTCTTATTCATCTGCACCATCACAAAATAATTTTTCAGGCTCTTTATGCTGGTCCAACAGATTTCAAAAGAGCATTTCCCTGATTTTTCTAGCACAAAATGACTGTTTTCAGAATTAGCAATCTCCATAACAATTTAAGAAAAATGTACAACTTGGGGCGGGGAAGGGGAAGGAATTAGACATCAACGTATAGCAAAGTGCAAGAACCGATATTGAGTGGAAAATTGCTCCCATGCGCCACATGGTTTACGTCATTAGGAAAACTATGGAAACCAGAAACAGTAAAGCAAAGAAAGCGGTATTCACAAGCAGGCTGTATAAGGAACTTTAGAATCTGCTCTGAACTTGTTGAATAATCTGTTCAGTATCCCAGCCTCTCCCTGCTGGAGGTGGTGCCTCATTATAACCAGGAGGGCACTAATAAAGGTTAGCCTCTGAACCAGGGATTAGAAGGCTCTTTCTCTGGGGGACGCTTCAAACTAGTAACTTTGATGATCTTGAAAAGAGAGACAAAGCACAATCCAAGAACAAACAGTGTTTCTACTAAGCAGGGAGGTACAGAAAACAGAAGAAAATGATAGTCTAAATACTCAGGAAAGAAGTGTAAAGCAGCCTGTCTGCAGTGGTGAAAATAAAATGTATTCAGCACAAGTAAGAACACTCCACGGCAGGGGGAGGGATGAGTCAGTCTAAGATTCGGTTTGAAATGTAAAAGGATAATTGATTTGTTGAAGTCACTTGAGTTTTCAGAACAGACCATAGATTTTTAACATGGGAATGGCTGGCTTTTCACTGTATTTTGGTGCTCATGAGATATTTGCTTAGTTGGTTGGTTGTTTCAGTTTTGCTGCTGTTGTTCTGTGGCTGCTGTTGCTGCTATTAAGACAAGGTATCACTATGTAGCTTTAACTTGCCTGTAACTGGCATGGTAGACCAGGTTGGCCTCAAACTCCTGTTGAGTCTTCTGCTTCTGCCTCCTGAGTGCTGGCACTACAGGTGTACGCCACCATGCTTGGCTTCTTAAGAGCTCTGGTTTTGTTTGTTTGTTTATTCTTCTCTCATCCATTTTTCCTGACCACAGTTTCCCATTCCTCCATTCCAGTCCTTCATACATCTTCTTAATCAATGATTTTCTTCTTCTATGTAGAACCATTCTTTTCTCTTCTTCTATAGAAAAACTGCATCTTGTCCCATAAATATGTGCAAGAAATTAGCACAATTATTTAGAAAGGTCAAGTGATATGCTTTGGCCTTGAAAAGGAGCATAACCTGTGTGTTAATGGAACAAACTCTGGGATTTTATTTCCTGTGTCCTTCCAAACCATATACCTTCTTCAAAGTGTTGCCTAGAAATATTGCCTCACTAGAAAAGGGTATCTTATGGATGGTTAATGTTGGTGTGCAAGGCTATATATATGCATTCCTTCACATTTAGAAGGCCTTTACCTTAGCTATTCTACCAACTTCCTACCTACTTGATGGAGAAGAACTTTTACTTTCAGGGTTTTCATTAAGCAAGCCTTCCACTCTATACATTAATGAGCATTAAAAGACCAGCATTCCTTAACTTTATCAATATGTGTACATAGTCATAAGCTGGGATCATTTCTATCACTTGAAAAAAACGTATATGGATAGCTGCTTTGGATATATTTTCTTAAAGCACAGATTCTGTATTTCAGGTAAAATAAAAGTTAGTCTAACAATTATGTTGGGTTTACATTTCAGTCCACATGTTAATAGGAAAAGGAAGTACTGCCCAGAACAAGCCTAGCTGCCCAAGGAGAAACTTCTATCTATAGTGGTGGCAGCAAGCTGTAAGATTTTAACATGTTTGCCTCCTTGTCTCAGGTTCAAGTAGATTGAAAATTGATAATTAATTTAATAATGTAATAGTCTTACAATTTTAATAATTTAAGTATGTAAGGGTGAGGATGATGGGTAGCAATAGAACATTTAATCAAAGCCAACGATGTGAAAAGTCAGATGCCCATAAGTCCCGTTTGTCCTTCATGATACCTGCAGCATTTCTTCCCTGATTTTTCTGTCAGTTAATATATCCTTATCATTCAAAATCAATCTCCCTTGTTATTCATTTAGAAATAGTTTCCTCTTGCTTGATATTTTCTACAGTATTCCATTCTTCTATTTGTATTAGTCCTTATCTTCTCCCTTCTCATTTTCTTCCTCTACTAAAACTCAAACCCTTTGAAGTTTGAGGTCACCATGTTTTGTTTGGATAATTTTATTTTATCTTTACTTGACAAATAATAACTATGTAGACTTACGGTTAAAATGGATATATAAATTGTGGAATAGAAAGATCATGGTGTCTTTAAGTTTGGTAAAAGAAGTGCTTCTTCTTTTCTGCTTGCACTGTGGAAGACCACTTATAGAGTCTTAGACCATCAATGCTCGCACCGAGTCACTCAGAACCTTCAACTTCCTACAACATGCTAAAAGCTTGACAGATAAGCATGACCATAGCAGATTTCTCAAAGCATACTCCGGTCATGCACAATAATTTTAATTGAACTTCTAACATTACTTTGAGAATAATAGAGAAAATCAACATTATGTTAAAAATCATGAGATTTAGCAGCAAAGTGTTAAGTTGCCAGAAGGTGGTATATTTTAAAGTCCTTAGTGAACCATCACAAATGATGCCTCAGTGTAAAGCAGGCTTCTGCAGGGAAAAGCACACACTGACGTTTAAATAACAGGGCCACGATACAGCACTGAACTCAAGTAAGTATTTGAATGAGGAAAGGCAGTTTCCTCTGTGGCCTCCAAACACACTGAGTTCACGTGTTAATACACAAACAAGCATATTGGACTTCAGGACGATCTCACAATAAACCATCTTGTCACTGTTAAAAAGTTTGAATGGTCATAAAAATACCAAAGAGAGCAGTACATGACAAGGAGCCAAAAATCCCTCTCAAGAGCAACCACAAAGATCATGGAATTTGTTATTGAGACACAGACTGGGATGGTCTGTCAAGACCTATGCCTGGGGAAGATACATCTCTTTCCTAAAACAAACATTTTTCATTCATAGAATCTCTTTGAATCATACTATGAAAGC